GCCTAATTTAGTCTCACTTCCTGCTACTTGCCATGTCTCCAAGTTCCACCCAAAACAAATAACCTATATATATTGGACTTCCTCTTCTTTTGTGCCCATGTTACACCTTTGCCTGGAATTCCCTCTTCTCCATGAATGTTTACAGACCAATAGCTCAACCATGACACCCTCAGGGAAACCATAGTGAAACCATCTTCATTAACAACTGCCTCACACATCCCGAAGTAGGTCCCTGCCCCTACTTGGGTTCCCATGGCAGCCTCTGAACATCTCTGTATCACCTTAATTATATTATATTGAAAAAATTCCTCTGTGTTTGTTTCTTCCATTGAGACTGTGAGCTCCTCGAAGCTGTGATTTGTAGCTCATTAATCTGTGTCCTAAGGCCATAGGAGGTATTTAAAAACATTTTGTTAGAAGGATTAATAAGTGAATAAATGTGAGAGAGACTATAACTTGCCACACTGAATATGCTACTTTGACATATGAATTAATTTGAGCTAAAGACATCTGAGAATCAACAGATGGCAGAATGAAACCTTTTCAGGGTTGCTTTGAGTAAAAATAGAAACTTTTCTTCTGAGACAAGAGCTACCATAGAGATCTCTCTGAGAGGTTAATGGCCATGAAGAATACCAAAAGTCAAAACCAAGATGAGTCTGCACAAGCACACGTTACTAAAATAACCCTTATCTCCCATTAGTTCTTCATGTACTACTGCATCTAATAGTTAAATCCTCCTTTATAGTTTGTCTAGTCATGTTTCCATAACTTATTATCCTTTGTGAAAATGATAGAGAAGTCTCCAGGTTTTATCACATCTTTGGGTTTTCATTTCTGTGATACCCCCATGCATATATAAATATTAAGATCAATAAAGAAGCATAGTTTTTAACTGTTAACATCAGTTTAATTCACAGGACCCCTGAACAGAACCTGAGAAAGTAGAAGTAAAGTTTTCTCTTCCCCTATAGTAATATATAGCAGGGTCTGAATTCCAATTCAGATCACTCTTGCCACTCTCTTATTTATGTCATGACACGACACACTTTGAAGACTTAGTAGATTCTGGGAAGAAAAGTGTTATACATGCTTATGTTAGCATCTAAGACTGAGTTACTGTCCTTGTATTAAGAAGTGGCGAGTAGGGCCTCCCTGGTGGCACAAGGGGTTAAGTCTCAGCACTATGAAGCTACCAGCAGCCCCTGCAGCACAAATTGGATTCCTGGCCAGGGTGCTGACCCACATGGCACAGCAGACCTCTCCTGCTCTGCTCTCTGCTCTGCCCCTAGTGAATCCCCTCACCCTCCCACACCTCTGGCCTACATCCCAGCTCTACTGTGCATAAATAAATAAAATAAATCTAAAAAAAAAAAAGTGTGTAGAGATCAGCAGCTCCTGAAACACAGCAACTAGGCAACACCCAGCTTTGTCTTTTGCATCAACTCTTTCCATGGCTCATACATGACATCACATAGTTCAGATATCCATGGAGAGGGTCATGGTGAACCTCAGGAATGATCTCTAATGTGTTTACAACTGCCTGTGCCTACGGTGTGGAGAAAGGTACAGCAGGACCCCCAGCAGAAAGGTCAGGGTGAAGGAGCCAGACTACCAGGCACCCGGTGTGAGCGGTGGGTGACACTCACATTCGCAGTTGTTTCCTAAGAAAAAACAGATCAGAGCCTTGAAGGCATTTCCACCAACAATATCTAGGGGTAGCTCCTGGAAGAACTGTGGTGGCTACAGAGTATGACTCCAGTGGGGTGGTCACCCCACTGTGTCCCTACCATGGTGGGGCCCTGTGTAAAAGAGCTGGCATGGAAAAGGGGGGAGAACTGGTGAGTAGATATTGAATATTACACAAAATTATTTTATTGTAGGCTTTGTTAACAATGGATATTTGATAAGAACATATCTAAAATGAATAATGTTCTTTTTAATATAGTAAACATCTGGGCCATTTGGAATAGAAGTTATTAAACTTCAGGGCTGAAAAACATTTAGCTATCTCTGCTCTTTATTCCTTGTATGTGCCTGGGTTCTGTAGAACATCAAATTTGCAAACTAAAGATAAAACTTCTTACCTTAAAAAGGTAGTGAGGGGGCTCTCCCTGGTGGCACAGCGGGTTAAAGCACTGCACCAAGAAGCTAAAGCCACTTCCACATGATTTCGATCCCTGCCTGCCCCGGAGGAGATCCACATGGCGTGGCAGACCTCTCCTGACCCGCCCGCTGCTCCTCTCAGCAGTGTACTTCCTCAATCTGCCTATTCTGTTCCCCACTCTGTTCCTGGTGAATCCTCTCACTGCCCCTGCATCCCTGACCTGTATTCTAGTTCCTTATGCATAAATAACTAAATATATTTTTTTAAAAAGGTAGTGTGGTTCTGATTAAAGGTGGAAGAAAGGCAGGCAAGACTGTTATCAGACGAGAGCTTGCAGACCCAAATGGAATCCAGTTGTCTCCACTCAGGGTCTCTTAACTCAGAAGTCTCACAAACACAGTACCAGTATGTACACGTGGAGTTACTCCTGCTGCTCCAGTGTGCCTTGTCTCAGTTAATGGCCCCACTGATGCATGTAGTGGTCCAAGTCAAAAGTTGGAGAGCTCTTGTGTCTCCAACTCTCCTTTCTTAGTTTTCATATCTAATCAGTACATGCTATATTCTATGTCTCCATTAATTCATTTATTCAGTCAGTATATTAGGTGCTAGGCATAGAGCAATGAATAAGAGAGACACAATTCCCAAACTCCTATAGCTTAGCTTAGTGGGAGAGTCAGAGTGGAGTCACATCATACTCAGATGAATTCAATCAACCATGAAATTATGCGTGGACCCCTAAATGCCTGTTTTAAATGGGTTCTACCATCTACAACAGAAACAAAACAGATTCTAGTGTATGAAACCTTCAAGAGAAAAGTACTTTAATATAATTAGTCTGCAATAGAGAGCAGAGAAAGAATATAATTAAAATCATTTCCAATGAAACCCCCAAGTTACCTATCCCCTCTGGGTAAATGCTCAGCCAAAAAGGGTGGGCCCAAAGTGGGGTCACTGAGGCCCCAAAGCTTGCTTTAGTCTAAGACACCTTCTGACTGGGAACCAAAAGAAAGAGGCAGAAGGGGGCAGGTTAGTCTGGAAGGGAAAGAGCAAAATCAAAGTACAAGTCAAGATAAAGTCTGCCATTGTCAGCCTCCCCACAGGCCTCTCACCCACGTCTCTTTCCAGTGTCTTCTTCCATGTCTCTCAAGTCCCTGGTACAAGCTTAAGGCCAAAAAGCAAGTGCAATTTCTTTCCATGTCTCTGTTCTATTTGCCTCCCCAGGTTTTCTTCCTGCTCCCTTCTACTTCTTCTCAAGTGGTTTTCCCTATCTCTTCTAGCTTCTCGTGGGTGCTCAGCATCACCCTTTCTTGGGTGGCACAGGGGACCTAAAATCCCCCTTCTCTGGTCATCACACTTAACAAACACACACCTTTCTTGACTTCTGAAATGTCTTACCATGTCTCCAAGCCTCGTTCAGACTTCTGTGCTCATACTATACCTCTGTCTTGCATGTTTTTGCCCTTCTCTGTGCATTTGCTTAGCTTCACATCCTGTCAATCCTGTGTAGAGCCTTCTACTTGACAGTTTCCCAGACATACCTATTGTGCTGATTGCTGCCCTCTGTGACTGCAGGGCACCTGCCTGTTCCTGCATTATGGCATTGCTCATACTGTGTGTTGAGTTCAATCCACACACAACTTGACTAGAACTGATTAAGAGCTGACATTGTATTTTATCATCTCTGTAAAACAACAGCGCACTCTGTGGGAATGGTGACTGATTTGTGAGTAGGAAAACTATCTTGGTCTCGTATGTAATGTTCTTAGGAATCTTGACTAAACCAGCACAACAGCCTGGAATGATGGAAGACTGGAGAAGGAATCAAATTTCCTCTCTTCCCTCCCATATTGACAAAGCCAAAGGTGAAGGTGAGTGATAGGATTAAAAAGTTTGAGATAGACCAATGGAGAACCTCAAATAACTCTACAAAAGAGGGGAGGGGTATTGATTTTCTGTCTCCCTCATATGACCTTTCCATTTCGCAACCTTTGATCTCACAGGGGTGTGATTGTTCTCTGGGGCTTCCAGCAGAGGGGTGGCAGATGATGATGTTACCAGATTCTGGGTTCTAGAGCTCTCAGAGAAATAGAAATAAGGAAGACTCTACTCCTGCAGGCAGAGAGTGAGGTTTTACTGAAGCTTGAACAGTTTAGCACACAGAAGTCTGCGTTAGGAACAGGGTCTTCCTGAGAAAAGGGTGGTTTTATTTAATCAGTTTAAACCAAGCATTAATTAAGCTGGGTCCTTCCTCCGTTCTCTGTTCTCCTTTCCATGAGGTCATTTGTAATCTCCTTGTGCCTGTGACCTCTTGCAGTCTTGGTGAATTCTTTATCTTTAGCCTAGAGGGATTGTTGGCTTAAAGGCTTTCATAGTGGTAAAAGTATGCATCAGGAAGGACAGACGCTATCAGAGTGTGGGTCTTTGACTTGCCTCTCATCCTCAGTGAAGAAAATGTTCCTTTTTACATTGTAATGGCTTGTTCTGCCTCAGCCTGTATTAATGTCCAGTATCACGGAACTGCCCGAAGACGCACCCCGCTGTCGCCTGCCTAGTGCAATTAGTCCTGGCGGGAAACTGCGGAATATACAGAGCTATACCAAGTTTTGTACCGGAAAGCCCAGAGCGCTCAACTCGTCCCAACTCCCCAAGTCCAGAGCCAACCTCAGCTTGCAGGACCTCCGGTGTCCAGCGGGCTGCCTGGGCGTGGCTTGGCCGGCTGGACCGCAGCCCAGTCCTGGCTCTGAGAGGCCACTCGGCCAATCGGACGCGGGGGGCGTTGTCCCGGGGCTAGCTCCCGCCTCCAAGCCTCCCGGCAGCGCTTTCCTGGGTTCCCAGCGGCCCAGCAGCTGCGCGCGCGCCCCCCTGGCGGCCGCTGCCCTCCGTCCTCCCGGGTATTCAGACCTGGCGGAACATGGCCTCGGCCACTGTGACAGCTGCAAGATGGGGCCTGGGCCGGGGTCCTCCGCTCCTCTTCCGGCGTAGCTACCAGACAGAGAAGGGTGTCTACGGCTATCGACCAAAGAAGCCAGAGAGCTTGGAACCCCGGGGCAGTCTGGCGCGCCCCCCAGGTCTGGGCTGGGTCGGAGCTGTGGACTTGGGATGCTGGGGTGTGTGTGTGTTGGGGGGACAGAGGAGGATGTCTGAGTGTCTGGAGGCAAGCATGCAGGTGGGGAGGAAAGAGAGGTGGGGAGCAGAGAGAAGCGTGAGTGTTGTCTGTGTTAGGGTTACCTCCTCCGCAGCCTCCATTATTAGGGATCCTTAAGGTCGGAGTCTTGGCCAGAGTGCTGTGCTTGCTTCACTTTTTCACTTTCCAAGTTCCAGCTGGTTTGGTGAAGTCTGGTCTTTTCTATTCCTTCGCTGTAACATGTGGGATTTTTAGCTTTCTTCCAAGACCCAGCTAAGGAAAAAGTTTGGATGCCTCCCGGTTATAAGCGCTCCTCCAGCTTATCCGGCCCTCTCCAAGCTCTTGTGTCATCCGTGGCAGGTGTGGGAATGCAACTACTGCTCTGAGCAAGAGGCAGTTGGTGATCCTGGACCACAGCATAATATTTATCATTTATTTGTATCTATATCTAAATAGGCTCTTACTTTAATTTCAGAGTTTAAAGCTCTTTATTTTGCTGGTTCTAAACTTCTGTTACATGTGTAAGAAACTAATTTTGAGTATTTATTTTGTGCCCCAGAGTTGTATTTATTCATCCTCATAGACTGAACGATAAATACAGGTTGATTATTAGAAGAAAATCACTCGGGGGGCCCTCCCTGGTGGTGCAACTGCTTAAAGCACAGCACTATGAAGTTAGCTGCAGCTGCTTCAGCATGAGTTCCATCCTGGATCAGAGAGGTGACCCACATGATGCAGCAGACTTCTGTCTCCCCCATTGCTTGCCCTCAGCAGTATATTTCAGTCAATCCGCCAGTTCTGTTCCCCACTCTGTCTCTGGTGAATCCTCTTACTGCCCCTGCACATGTGGCCTGTATCTCAGTTCTGTATGCATAAATAAATAAATCTTTAAAAAAGAAGAAGAAAATAATTTGGCATCTTTGGTCAAATTATTAGATTAATAAGGAAGGCTGTTTTCATCATCTAAACACCGGAGCTTTGAATTTTACATTACTCGCTGAAGCCTCAATATTTTACTCTTAATACCAGCAATATTTAGAATAAACCTGACTTCTCTCTGTTGAATGCAATGAGATTTCTTTAGGAAGGGCATTGTGACCAATTAGATTGGTAATCCCTTAGCGGGTAAGACTACAAGTATATGATTTCATTTTGCATATTGAGTGTCTAGAATTTTATTAAGTGTATATTCAAATCAACTTCAATGATGTCTAGAAGTCTAATTTCCAGGCTCCCAGGTTCTCATTCATTAGTCTGAGATGAGGTTCAGAAGTGTGTATTTTGATCAAGCACCCCAGGTGATTCTGGAAACTCTATGACCACTGCAGCGAAACAGCGTTTAAGTCATTAGAGATAAAAGTGCAGAACATGATTGACCTCCCTTCATTTAAGATCATTTTAGCATGAACTCAATACATAATTGTTAGCTCTTTTGAAGTTTTATTCAAACCAAATGTTACAATTTTTAAAGAAGATTTACTTATTCATGCATACAGAACTGGGGTACAGGCCAGAGGTGCAGGGGCAGTGAGAGGATTCACCAGAGACAGAGTGGGGAGCAGAACAGGCAGATTGACAAAGTACACTCCTGAGGGGAGCAGTGGGTGAAGCAGGAAAGGTCTGCTGCACCATGTGGGTCACTCCCTGGCAGGTGATTGAACTCACTGAGTCCTTTTCTCACTCAGGTTTTCAGAGGCTCTACTTTGCCTCTCAGAACAAAATCCAGATTTAGCTTGATACACAATTCCCTTTATGTTTGGGGGCCCATTGTGCCTTTCCCTCTTACCTCTCTCTGACATAAACCCCCCATATTCCCTGTTTTTATCCAAAGCTCTTCTCCCTCATTTTGTCCTTCTCCACTTCCTCATTCCCCAGCCCGGCTCCATTCCCGCCTCTTCCATGATATCTTTTCAGTTAAGTCCATGTACTGCCTTTCTCCTCAGTGTGTAGTCTCTGGGGCTCTGCAGAACTTTTCCTAATTGTGTACACTTTTGTGCAGGGACCATCTTCTCACATTGTAAGATCTTGCCTGGTGAAGATACAGCCTTATATTCCTCTCAGCTCTACAATTCAAAGAGTATTTATTAAATGATCTTTTCCTACTGAGAAATAGAAAAAAGATTCTGTCCAGGATATTAAGTGCATCTGAATTTTGTATGATTAGCCTTAATACCAAGAATTAAGAAAGGAAGCACAACACACAGTTACTGTTACTATGTTTTAGAAAAAGTAATCTTTTGGGGGTGCTAATATAAACAATGAATCCTTGCTAGATTTTCCCTTACTTTCATGTAAGGAAAACAGTTTACAGTCAGTTCTCTTAATTAAATCAGGAGGCTGATGAAGGGACATGATTTGATTGGTTCTAATCTTTATCATGACATCTGCCTATGTCAAGAATAATTGAGTTAGTGTGATGAGTCATGTACATAACTCTTGTGAATTGGCAAAGTAAATCGAAGGCCAAATTCCAGTGAAAATGGGCTCATGGAATCCTCCCCCAGCAAAAGTGACTTAGTGAAGTAGAAGTAGAGATCTCACAGCTGAGACGTGTCCCTTTTTTTCTATGCTGCTTATCAGCTTTCTTTCTTCATATGTGTATCTTCGCTAAAAGTGAAAGCTTCATAGGATGGCTACATCTTTCACTAAGACCTTCATTATATTGGACTTTAAAAAGATAATGAATTTGCTTTTACTAGCCTTGTGGATGGCAGTGATTTATAAGTTAAAATTTTATCTGGGATGAGTGTTCTTTGTAGCTGGCTGTTAGCAACAGCTTGTACTTTAACCTCTGTAAACCTCAGTTTCCAAGTAAACTAGATTTTTTTTTTTTGAGCAACAGTCCCAATTTAAAAGAGATAGATTGAGTTGAGGGGTGCTGACTCAGGAGAATACATTTTGCTCTGGGGGATTTGGGTTGTGAAAAATAGCAGAATGTAGAACCCAGGAGGAGATGAGCATTGTAAGATCCAAGCAAGTTTCTAGTGGTTACCTACCCTGAGCTTTAACAAGTGAAGTGAGGTCATCAGTGTGTTCATATTAGAAACAACAAGTTTCTTTACTGGAATCATAATTTAAAAGGTTGACAGAACTATTATTACATGGGGAAATGACAATAATTCTTGTACTTTCTTTCTTTTTAATTTGAAAGGCTTCAAGTTCTCTCATTCTTTTGCTATATTCTCTGCACTTTCCTTTTTACTTTTTGTAATTGGTATAATGGTGTGAATTGAAGTCAAACACACTTGTTCACATTTCACCACCTTCACTACCTGTGTCACCTATTATAAGTTGCTGAACCTCTTTAGGTTGTGATTTATGCTTCTGCACATAAGAACACCTATTTAACAGCTGCTGCAAGACCTGTGTAAAATAGCATGTGTGAAAAGCCTAGTGTGGGCATAGCAGAAGATAGTATTCAATAATTGATCACTATCATGTATTATCAATCCTTACTTAGCTATTGTGGCCATGATGTAAGAAAAGGTTAGAAAAACAGGGAACATCAGAAAAAGCTTTCTATTTAAATTTGTTACTGTTTTATTATGTGTTTGTTTTTTTTTTGCAAGGGAGGGGCATTAGTAGTTTTTGTTTTTTTTTTTTAAGATTTATTTACTTAGGCACACAAGAACTGGGGTACAGATCAGAGGTGCAGTGGGGGGTGATGGTGAGAGGATTCACCAGAGACAGAGTGGGGAGCAGAACAGGTGGATCTACTGAAACACACTGCTAAGGGAGCAGCGGGCAGTCAGGAGAGGTCTGCAGTGCCATGTGGGTCACTTCCCAGGCTGGAGATCAAACTCAGTGGCTGCCCATAGCTTCCTACAGCTGTACTTTAACCCACTGCTCACCAGGGAGGGCCCTGTTTTATTTTTTGTTGTTGGTTTGTTTGTTTTATTTTGTTTTGTTTTTAAATAAGAAATACCTGGCAGAAAAACATCTGTTTTATACACATCCTGTGTTTGACACAGAAAGGGAGGGTATTGGTATAAAATGAACTAAGTTGCATGGTCTGGGTCTCTGAGTTTGTTGTACAGAAAGATGATTCCGGTACAAATTAATTTGACTTGTTAATATGGTTTTCTTTTCTTTCTTTTTAAAGATTTATTTACTTATGCACACAGAACTGGGGTACAGGTCAGGGGTGCAGGGGTGGTGGGAGGATTCACCAGAGACAGAATGGGGAGCAGAACGGGCAGATTGACAAAGTACACTGCTGAGGGGAGCAGCAGGGTGGGTCAGGAGAGGTCTGCAGTGCCATGTGGATCACCTGGGCGGGGGCTGGGGGGGTTGAACTCCTGCTAAAGCAGTTATAGCTAGCTTCATAGTGCTGTGCTTAACCTGCTGTGCCATCAGGGAGGGCCCTAAATGTGGTTTTCTATGAAATTTCTACATTGAAGCTATATGCAGCTATCTCATTTTAATAGGGTTCTGAGAGATTCCAAATAGGAAATTCCCACTTTATAGTCCTCGATGTTTTAATAAATGTCCAGAACTCCTTGAGTATATGCTTCCTGTAATAAAAATAGAGCTGTGAGTATGCACTAGTTATTTTTTTTGGAGACATAACCACATGATGAAAAGATGATGACTTTTTTTTTTTTTTAAGATTTATTTATTCATACAGACTGGGGTACAGGCCAGAGATGCGGAGGGTGAGAGGCTTTACCAGAGACAGAGCAGGGAGAAGAACAGGCAGATCGACAAGTACACTGCTGAGGGGAGCAGCGGGCGGGTCAGGAGAGGTCTGCCACGCCATGTGGTCACCTCCGGGGCAGGCGGGAATCGAACTCATGCGGAAGCGGCTTAATCTTCTTAGTACTGTGCTTTTAACCCGCTGCGCCACCAGGGAGGTCCGAAAAGATGATGACTTTTAGTTTAAGTACTAAGTTTAACAAATTACCTGTCAGTGAGTGAAAAAAACTAGGATCTTATAATGCCAGAGAGCCTAGGGAAGACTGTTCATTAAAAGGCCAATCAGGACAATGCTTTAGACATGCTCTATCAGGATTTTAGCTACAAATATGTAGGTGCCTTACATCATAAAAAACTCTGGAGAATCTGAATAAGATCCAGTAACTTACCTCCAACCTGAAATCTGTTCATTTACTGGAATTGTTTGATTATTAATTTGCTCGACATAGTATGATCCTTCTAACTGCCACATTAGTGTAAACACATCTTTTACATGTCATTTCCTCTCAGCCTGTGGCAAGTAAAGAGTTATATTTTGCAATACTTTGAATACAAACCACACATGTCTATAGTTCTGAAGTCATCGTGTAGTAATACACGTTCAGAAAATGGTCATTTAATGTTTCCAGATATGCTAACTTTTTTTAGGTTCTAAAAATAAAAACACATTTTTTAAAATGTTCAGAAAACATTTTTGTTTTTCAAATTTGAGAAGGAGTTTCACGTGAAAAGGGGAAGAAAAGCAGCTTCTGACTCAATATAACTTCACCTAAGATAGAATTGGCGTCACTGAAAGATAATGGCTCCCTTTAAGTGGCGATTGGGAATCACTCATTTAATGCTTCATAAGGGAGATTTTGTTTTCATTATGTGACAAGATGATTTCTAAGTCCTTTTCCTAGTCTGAGATTGCGTGTATTTATGAAATAACTGGGTATTTAGGAAATAAGGAAGGAAATGTATCATTAATTTTGTAGTTTTGCATTTACCTATTTTTAATGTAAGATATATAAAAATATATTTTTTAAAATACTATAATTATCCATAATTTTGGCGTGTTAGTGGTTCTTTTCAATTTGTTATGTTCTTTTAATATTCATCTATATCATAGCTATTTTAACAAATGTACCCTCCTAAGTTCTCTCTTCTTTTTTTTCCCCCAGTGACTTTAGCTATCATAAGATAAATTTAAGAAAATAGGCATGTTTTCCTGAATTCAGATAGCTTCTGATACTGAAAATTACTGGTGAATATGGTTGGGAGGAGCAATGTGTTCAAAATATTAAGGCTAGAAAAGCTTTCTTTGAAAAATTGATTTTGTGGTTTATAGGACCTTTCTAAACCATTTGTATTGTTTTATTTTCCCCCCAAATTAGTTGATCATGGTCTTGCCAGGTTGGTAACAGTATATTGTGAGCATGGTCATAAAGCTGCCAAGATCAATCCCCTCTTCGCTGGACAAGCACTGCAGGACAATGTGCCAGAAATCCAGGCCCTGGTGCAGACACTGCAGGGACCCTTTAACACCACAGGTAAAACCCATTAACAATAGACTGACTGTTTGACAGTTGACTGAACTTCTCTATTTTTGCATAACCCACTTGCCTGTGGAGCTTCACTGGGTACAAGAGGACAATGAGGGGTGCATTCAAGCACTGTCTAGGAATCTTGAGATTCTAGAATGGTCTTCTGATAGGGCCCTTTTATTTATTTGTTATTTTTTAAAGATTTATGTATTTATGCATACAAGAGCTGGGGTGTAGGCCATAGGTGGGGGGTGGAGGATGGGGAGTAAGAGGATTCACCAGAGACAGAATGGGGAGCAGAACAGGTAGATTGACCAAAATACACTGCTGAGGGAATTTAGAGAGATTTACTTTTTCCTTAACATGTTGCTGTCAATAGTAATTTATATTAAGATCATCTGTTCAGTAATAGACATTGCTTTACAGATATTAATAAAGATTTGAATGTTTGGTAGCTAGATATTTCAGATACAAAGTAGAACATACAATTTGTAGCTCTAAAGCAGATGAATGATAGTTTTCAAATTTTAGTTTGAAATTACAATAGAATGAAAATCAGTTATGAAGTAATATGCTCTGTCCTTGTGAAGTAAGATTTCCCCCCCTCTCCTAGACTTATTGCAGTTTTCCTTTTAGGAAAATTTAGACAAGCATTGATAATGGTCAAAGTTTTTCAGAACAAAATGCTCTGAATTGAAACAATTATTTTGGTATGTCCCATAATTGTTTACATGGTTAATTTTCTAAAAGTGATCTCTTTGATTCCATTTCATAGGACTATTGAACATGGGGAAGGATGAAGTCTCTCTTGAGGAAGTACTAGCTTATCTCAACCAAATTTACTGTGGGCAGATTTCTATCGAAACCTCCCAACTTCAGAGCCAAAAGGAGAAAGACTGGTTTGCCAAGCGGTTTGAGGAACTGAAAAAGGAGACATTTACCACAGAAGAGCGAAAACATTTGTCAAAATTAATGCTGGAATCCCAGGTATAAAAATAGCAACTCATATCAACAGAATAGGTCTGCACAAGTAAATATGGGAAGGAATGAAAACATGAATGAAAACCTACTAAGCTATATAAATATTGGAGAGAGAAAAAAGGCATTAAGTTTCTGAATATAGCCCCACTTATTCCCATCAATTTAGTTTTCCCTTGAGTAAACATACTTTGTATATATATTTTATTCATTCTGTAAAAGATTATGACTCTTTGAGATCTTCTTTTTTTATTACCAGAAATTCAAACGCAAGATATTCTCAAAGGGGACAATCAAATTAATAGAATAGAATCTCTGTAAGGACTGTGAGCATGACTCAGGCATATCAAGATGACCACAAACCTGTTCTTAATAATTTGAGTATTTGGCAGGCTTGCAGCCCTGATGGAAGAAGCAGGAGGGCTCCAGAGCCCAGCCCAACCCTAGAACACATTTGCACGGGATTCCTTTGGGATAAGTTAGTCTACCACTAATATTATTTTCTTTGCTGTCCCCACTCTTATCTGGTGTTCTGGGCTACACTTTCCTGCTGTGCTCTGCTCGACTTCTCTGTCTCTGAAGTCTGGAGTGAGGGGCCACCGCTGCTGTCACTTGAAGTGGGATGGGGCCAGTACATAAACATGTCTGATTTTCACTAGAGCTGTGGACTATCTCTTTGCAACTGATGTGTCTGACATGATGTGCCGTAGGAATTTGACCACTTTTTGGCCACCAAGTTTGCCACAGTAAAGCGGTATGGAGGTGAAGGAGCTGAAAGCATGATGGGCTTTTTCCATGAGTTGCTGAAAATGTCAGCCTATGGTGGGATCACTGATGTCATTATTGGGATGCCCCACAGAGGAAGACTCAACTTATTAACTGGTCTTCTGCAATTCCCTCCAGAGGTAAGATACTTTCCATGTTTCTCACCAGTGATGCATAATTGACTATAATAGAATGAAACTGATGGTAATAATTCCTTTTAGAAAATTAATTAAATCTATGGACCAGGAGATAGCTTAGTAAATTGGTGAAACTTAATGCTGTTAGATAGAATTGCTTTTAGGGTGGTTCTCTCTATACATACTTATGGATTCTTTCTTCTCCAGAGAAGTTGGCAGGAGTTTATATGTTTAAGGATGATGTGACTAGATAAATTCTCTTCTTTCACATATGCTTTTTATTTTTTAAGTTTATTTATTTTTGCACAGAAGAACAGGGGTGTAGGCCAGAGGAGTGGGGGTTGAGAGGATTCACCAGTGGTAGAGCAGGAACCAGAAGAGGCATTTCTCCTGGAATACACTGCTGAGGAGCAGCGGGTGAGACAGGAGAGGTCTGCTGTGCCACGTGGGTCACCTCCCTGGCTGGGGATAGAACTCAAGCAATGGAGGTCATAGTGCTGAGACTAAACAACTAGGCCACCAGGGAGGTCCTGAAGTATGCTTTTCTTATTTAATAAAAACTGTTCCAATAAACACAAAGATGTGCAATTTTATAAAATTTTACCTTCCCAGCCTTCCCTGGTGGCACATACAGGTTAAAGAAAAACACTATGAGGCTATCTGCAGCACAAGTTCGATCCCTGGCCACGGGGTGACCCATATGGCATTGCAGACCTCTCCTGTCTTGCCCACTGCTCCCCTCAGCAGTGTATTTCAGTCAATCTGCCTGTTCTGCTTCCCAATCTGTCCCTGGTGAATCCTTCCTTCTCCCCAAGCACCTCTGGCCTGTACTTCAGTTCTTGTATGTATAAAAAAAAAAAGTTAAAAAAAATTTTGACCTTCCAAGAAGTTAATTTTACCTTCTGTTTATTTGCAATTGATAGTATGTAGTAGAGTTTATAATCAGTTATTCTACTAAAAGTAATAATACATAATTTTCTCAAGAGGTCACCCTAGTAAGTGCTTTATAGGTAGCTGGACCTTGGCATTCCTATGTGGTCCAAATCAGCTACTTTGTAGATCTCTTAAAAGAAAGACTCAAGAATCGGGATTGAAGATTTCATGTCAGGGAATCAGAGATTTGATATTTAATAAGGTTGTGGTCATTATCCATGATAAACCTCACTATTATTTTAGGAGATTAAACTTAATTATAAATGGTAGAGTCTGTTAGACAGAATGAACAAAGCCTATGAACACGTGTATTATCCATACAACCATCATAAAATACATGTGGTATCATGTCTAGGGGGCCAAGCTTTATCACTGTTACTCAGACTTTTGTTTCTCTGATGATAAGAGATTGATAATCAGCTTTTAAAAGACAAATACCAGCCCTCCCTGGTGGCGTAACTGGTTAAGATGCAGCACTGCAAGCTGGCCACAGCCACTTCAGTGCAAGTTCGATTCCCCACCCCACCACCTCTCCTGACACACCCACTGCTCCCCTCAGCAGTATACTTCATTGATCTGCCTGTTCTGCACCCCACTCTGTCTCTGGTGAATCCTCTTACTGCCCCTGTACCTCTGGCCTGTACTCCAGTTCTGTATGCATAAGTAAATAAATATTTTTTTAAAAAGGCAAATACCACAGAAAAGGTAGAAAATGACAAAATAAAGTGATTGATAGTGAGCCATATGCTCAAATATATACAGAAATTCCTAACCCAAAAGTTGCATTCTTAAAATAGCCAAGTCAACAAAAACTACTTAAAATCTTAAAGATACAAAAATGATTATGATCTACGATGTCTGTAAGAAACATCTATACTTTCTCTCTACCACATGTATTCCTATTTATAGATAGGTCACTAAGAAGCTTTTGCAAACTAGAGAACCTTTGAGATCATTCAAATTGAATAACTGAGAATTGTTTTCTGTTTTGATAAATACCCTGTCTTGAGAATCAGCTTTGTTACAAAGACCTTGAGAAATTTAAATTCTCTTGTTCATACATTTTTAAAATCAGTAGTGACTTCTGTCTCATTGATGGTTGTGAGATTGAAATGAGAGAATGCAAACAGAGAAGTCCTTTGAGAATTGGACAGTATAATTTAAAATTTTTTTTAAAGTGTCAAGGGTTTTTTACTGTCGTAAAACACTAGGCAGAACTAGTCGGTACATTGGTCCTTTCTGGCGGTGCAAGTCTCAGCACCGTGAAGCAAGTCACAGCCACAGCAGCACAAGTTTGATCCCCAGCCAAGGAGCAGAGGGGAACAGCTACGGAGACTGGAGTGCTGCACCGTGTGGGTCAGCTTCCTGGCTGTGGATTTCGCTCACGCTGAAATGGCTGGTGATAGCTTGATAGTGCTGTGACTTAACCCCGGTGGCACCAGCGAGGACTTGATATATATTTATTTTGGGAATTTCACATTTTGTGGTTCCTTCCATTGCCCATTACAAATGATTGAATGATAGTGTTCAAACTATTTCTTTAATGAGAACTTTTACTTCATCTACTTGTTGTACATGTTAGCCCATACAGTGTAAAGTTTTTGGATCTGACTTGGTCTAAGTGGTGTAAGTTATTTTTTTTCCCGAATAAGACTAAATTCTATTCTCTTGTCTACTTTTAACAAGATTATTATGAAGTTCTTTTGGAAGGACAAGGTAATACTTGTGTGACGATAGATTCAAAGTATAGGCATACCATTTGATTGTGAAGATTTCCAAATGTTTTTGTTCATTTGGGCACAAAATAATACACAGTATTAATAGTTATAGAAGCATGTGTGTAATTTCTTATTGTACAGAGATATAATAAAATTTTCCTTAGTCTCCTTGTGATCATGCTTATCGTATAATCTGTATATTCCTAATAGCTGATGTTCCGCAAAATGCGAGGCTTGAGTGAATTTCCAGAAAATATCTCAGCCACTGGGGATGTCCTATCTCATCTGACTTCCTCGGTAGACCTGGACTTTGGGGCACACCATCCCCTCCATGTGACAATGCTGCCTAATCCTTCGCACCTGGAAGCTGTCAACCCAGTGGCCGTGGGCAAGACTCGGGGAAGGCAGCAGTCCCGCCGGGAGGGGGATTACTCTCCGGACAGTGGTGCGCAACCTGGCGACAGAGTCATTTGCTTACAGGTACTTGTAGCTTTCGGAAGTGAGGTTGGGAAGACCAGGAGAAAGAGCACTCAGGGTGACTGATCAAAGGCTGGTAGATATTCAAGAGAAAATCAAAGTAGACTTTTGGGACGATTCTCTATTAAAAATTAATAGCAGGCCCTCCCTGGTGGCGCAGAGGGTTAAAGCACAGCACTGAGAATCTGAAGCCACTTCTGCATGAGTTCGATCCCCGCCTGCCCTGGAGGTGACCACATGGCGCAGCAGACCTCTCCTGATCCGCCTGCTGCTCCCCTCGGCAGTGTACTTCATCGATCTGCCTGTTCTGCTCCCCACTCTGTCTCTGGTGAAGCGTCTCGCCACCCCTGAGCCTCTGGCCTGTATCCTAGTTCTGTATGCACAAATAAATATATCTTTAAAAAAAAATTAATAGCAGAGATGAGGTCAGTTCCTCAGGCCAGACGCTTCAGTTGGAGGTTTTCTCTGTTTGAGTTATGATTGAGTTATATTAAGTGGCATAACTGCTGCTGCTTCTATAAGGACAGGGCTGGGCCCTCCCTGATGGTGCAGCAGGTTAAAGCGCAGCACTGCAAGCTGGCTGCAGCCTCCTCAGTGCGAGCTTGACCTCAGGCCCAGGAATTGACCCACATGGCACAGCAGATCTCTCCTGTCTTGCCCACTGCTCCCCTCAGCAGTGTATTTCTGTCAACCTGCCTGTTCTGCTCCCTGCTTTGTCTCTGGTGAAGCCTCTCACTGCCCCTGTACCTCTGGCTTGTACTCCAGTTCTGTGTGCTTAAATAAATAAATCTTTAAAAATAAATAAATAAAAGGATAGAGCTTCTTCCTTACTCCTCTGAAAGTACCCACATGTCTAATGAGGCTACAAGAATCTGGACTTAGTTCATTTGCTTGCTTGTTTTATAATAAAGGTCTCTGACAGTAAGGCAAATAAAAGAAATCACTAGTGTGGTCCTTGCTTACTCTAGCCTCCATATTTAATTTTTTTATTTAAAAAATTTATTTATGCATACAGAACTGGGGTACAGGTCAGAGGTGTGGGGGCAGTGAGAGGATTCACCAGAGACAGAGCGAGAAGCAGAACAGGCAGATCCACTAAAATACACTGCTGAGGAGATCAGCGGGCCAGACAGGAGAGGTTTGCTGTGTCATGTGGGTCACCTCCCTGGCCAGGGATTGAATTGTGCTGAAGAGGCTGCAGCTAGCTTTATAGTGCTACATTTTAACCCATTGTGCCACCAGGGAGGGTTCAAACTTCCATATTTAGTAACTCAACTGAAATCTTTTAGAGTTTTATAGGTGGGTCATATTTTTTTATACAAGTATTTATTTAAATATGAACACTGGGTGGTATTATCTTGGTTATCAATAACCAGTCTTCAAATTCAAAAAAAAGAGAAGTCTGTAAGGCAGTAGAATACTTGCTACGTGTACGAATAACCACATTCTTTTATTCATGCTAATTTTCCATGGATCAGAAACTTACAGTGACTAAATTCTTGGTAGGCAGAATTGGATTTGATTATGACATGATTATATGATATTATGAATAAGCATTTCTAAATAGAAGCATTCAAATCATCAGACATTCTTTTTATGTTCCACTTGACTTAGTTCATGATAATCTAAAATATTTTAGTCATTCACATTTACTCAGCACATAAACAGATCTTAAGGACATCTGAAGTATGAGGTGAAATGGCATTTTCTTTAAAGCAATGAAAACCCACTTTTGTCTACTTTCTGTTCCAAGATTATTTGTCTGCCAAATCTATACATTTCTTATCTTGCTTGATACACAGTCTAATTTCTTGTGGGACTGTTAATATTAGAGTCCATAGAATTATGATGGGTGAGATTCCTCATGCCTGCATTCTACCTGTCTTCTATTTAT